AACTTTAAACGGACACTAAACGAATGGCTGTAAGTCAAGGACTGCCTGTATCACGTTCTGCACAGGGCCACGGACATTTCAGGCTTCTAGAGTTAGGGCTGCAGAAGGCCAGGCCCCACAACCCCACTTTCATCCTCTTCTGCTTCCCCCCACTTCCCAAAATAAATTGCTTTTTAACGTTTCAATTAGGAAGTACATGGGAGTCAATCAGAGGGAGACACACAGGGTGAAGGGCCTGTTTGCCTTTTCCAGCCCTGGCCTCTTCAATTATCTATAATGAACTTCTTAACGCAGCCTCAAACCTTTTTATATGCTAACGAAGGCTGGGTTGAAGCCGTGGCAATTGCAAATTCTTGTTAAGGAATGAAAAGCACCGGAGCGGTATTGCCAGAGAGCAGGGGACAAAAATCCGATCTTGAAAGCTTCTGGTTCCTTGATCTACACACGACCTCTTGCAACCAGGATGTCAATCAATCAGAATAAAGCTGGAAGGGACCTTGGAGGTCATCCATATATGTCTGTCTGTCTCTCTATCTCCTTTTCCTCTCTATCCGTCTATCCATCCATCCATCCATATCTCTGTGTCATCTCTCTCTCTCTCCCTCTCTCCCTCCCTCACTCCCTCCTCCCTCTATACATACCTACATCTACCAGTATTGTCCATCCATCCATCCATTCATCCATCTGTCCATCTGTCTGTCTGTCTCTCTCTCTCTTCATGATCCATCCATCCATGTCTATCTTCTTATCTCTCTCTCATCCATCCATCCAACCATCCATCTGTTTACTTATTTCTCTCACCATCCATCCATCCATGTCTGTCTCTCTATTCATCCATCCATCCCTCTGTCTGTCTTTGTCTAGCTATCCATCCATCCACTTCTCTCTCTATCCATCCATCCACCCATCCACCCAACCATCCATGTCTGTCTGTCTGTCTGTCCATCCATCCATCCATTTCTATCTTATCTCTCTCTCTCATCCAAACATCCATGTCTGTCTATCTATCCATTCATTCATCCATCCACTTCTCTCTCCATCCATCCACCCATCCATCCGTCCACTTCTCTCTCTCCATCCATCCATCTATCATCCATCCACCCATGTCTGTCTTTGTCTATCTGTCCATTCATCCTCTCTCCATCTATCCCTCCACCCACCCACCCACCCATCCATCCACTTCTCTCTTTCCATCCATCCATCCACTTCTCTCTTTCCATCCATCCATCCACTTCTCTTTCCAATCCATCCCTCCATCCACTTCTCTGTCTTTCCATCCATCCATCCATCCATCCATTCATCGGTCCACTTGTTTTTCCATCCATCCATCCATCCATCCATCCATCCATCCATCCATCCATGTCTATCTTCTTATATCTCTCTCTCCCATCCATCCATCCATGTCTGCCTGCCTGCCTATCTATCTATCCATCCATTCACTTCTCTGTCTTCCATCCATCCACCCATCCACGTTTCCATCTCTCTCTCTCTCTCTCTCCTATCTACCTACCTACGTACCTACCTACCTAAATACCTACCTAAATACCTACCTACCCACCCACCCACCCAGGATGAGCCTGGAGGCCTCTTGATCCACCCACCCACCCAACAATCTCACACTTTTAAGATTGTCCCAGTTGAAAGGAGTTCTTTTTGTTAAAAAAGAAAGAAAGAAAGAAAGAAAGAAAGAAAGAAAGAAAGAAAGAAAGAAAGAAAGAAAGAAAG